CAGAATTGCCCACAAAACATGCGGCTTTCCGCTAAATGCCAGAGAGGGTAGGTTGCTTATTCAGGCACAGTATAGAATTTGGCTTAAGGTTTGAACTAAAATGCATGTTGATATGGAACAAGGTCTGGCTTCCCGTTTATCGAAGCATTTAAGTTTAGGTTTAAGGCTAGAGTTAAGACAGAAGAAGCAGAAGATGCGATCGCTGAGACATGTCGCCCACGCATTTGTCGCGAATTCTTCATTCAAAACATCAGCAGAAGACAGTAGCAGTTCAGGTCGGTAGAGTTTCGCTTATATTGATGTTTTACCTAACGGCCCACGAACTAGATAAAAGGCCCAGTTACGTGTTTTACCGGTATTATGCCGCTGCTTGACACAGCGACGAAGAGTCCGGCGTATCAGTGGGTCACCCAGCTTTCCCTGTTTGCTTTCTGCTTGATTAATTAGTTTTGAAAGTTCAGCTTTTTTAATTTTCTTAGAAATTAATTTCTCTTCGCGGTATATATCACTGTATTTAATGTCTATAGGCGTTGACCGAAATTGTAAGTGTATATTTGGGTTGAAGCACGCCAACCACTGCGAAATATCCACTTGCTGCCGACAGACAGACTTTAATAGTATGAATTGATGTTGTAACTTACCATACTAAAGCCTAGGTACTATGTAAAAGGCCTAGACACGTGTTTCACTGGTATTCTGCTTGACACACCTGCGAAAGGGGCGGCTCGCCAGTTGGTCTTCCAGCTTTCCCTGTTTGCTTTCTGCTTGATAAATCAGTTTTGAAGGTTCAGCTTTCCTTTGAAATTAATTTCTGTTCGCGGTATATACAGTAGTCGCCGGTTATTAAGCCCACGGCTAATAAGACCAGTCGCCTATTAAACCCAAGTCAGCTTGGGACGGAATTTTACATAGCAATTATCCGCCGGCTACAAAGCCCAGTTTGCCAACAGGCTAGAGTGAAATTCTCATCTCTCTGCGTGCGCAACTGGTTACGTGTCGCAAA